ATATATATCTTTAAAAAACTATGGCAGATGTCTTCTAGGGACTAGAAAGGTAAGGAGAATCATGAGCAGAGGTATATGCTTGCTGCTCAAGATAGTGAAGAAATTGATGAAAAGAAACTTGATATAAAATTTTGTTAATGACAAAGGATACAGAAAATTATGTAAATGGTTATAAGAGTAGAATATAATTATATTTTGAAGCAGTCATTATGAACAGAACAAGAAAAATCTAATGCCTTTTATTCACTTAGATGTACTTTTAAAATAATGTAAAAGCTTCTGGAAAGGTTTTGTGAACTGCCTCCCCCCCCCCACTTCTCACTGGCCATTCATCAGAACAGGGGTCTGGACTGCAGCAGGCAATCGGGAGGAATTAACTATTGGTAGCCCCCCTGCCTATCTGTGCAAAATCAAAAGTTGTATAACTTTGGGAATGTATATAAAACTGATAATTACAGCTAGTTTTTTTCTTAACCTATTTTTTCTTATAAATCCGATAAAGCGGGAAGAAGAAAAAACTGCAGAAAATCAGGCTGAGCATTTTCAGTGCATTTTTCCCTCCTATCATCGCCCCCTGGGTTCATGTCTCTACTTCGGCATTCTCACAAACACTTGCCAGGGGCCTCTTTGAGAGTCAAACAGTGATGTATTATACATCGCTTTCCATATCCATCCTGCACAGGGCTCTCTTGATGTGCTCCTCAATTCCATAGGCGAGTAGATCTGTTTTCGTTTTAAAAATTCTTTATCTCCAATGCATCTGTCAGAACTGCACCTAGGACAGGGGCTCCTAACTGCTGACTAATGTTGCCGCCCACACAACACTCCCTGCCAAACACATCACACTGTGACTATCAAAGTAAGAAACTAAACGTGAGCACGGTAACACCCACGCAATTTGTAAATGGCACTAATTTGTTTCCACAACACTTTCACCAGCACATTCGACGTGTTGCATGCATTGTGCTAAGATTGGTTTTAAAACTTCTCTGCAGCCTGTGAGTAGTGTGCACAGAAACACCTGTGCCCTTCGTGCAGCAGTCAAAGCCCTGCATGTCCCTACCACTGAGATCCTTACTTTTAGAAAGTCAGGGATGAGACTTAACTGTCACTTCTCCACACGAAGGTGAGTGTTCACATTGGGCTAGCCCATCTGTGCCCTAAGATACATTCTATAAAAATATCGAGTATCTTAGCACCTTTTACGTCCCCCAAAGAGCTAAATTTTTACAGAGTTTCCCATTTTTAAAATACTTTTTAGCTCTTTATTTTGAGATGATTTAAAATTCACATTGAGTTTTACAAATACTATAGCAATATCCCTTATACGTTTCACCCAATTTTCCCCAATGGTAACACATCGCAAAACTGTACTGTACAGGTTGAGCATCTCTTACCTGAAAATATAAGATCCAAAGTGCTACAAAATCCAAAACTTTTAGAGCACCAGCATGATGCCCAAAGAAAAGGCTCACTGGTGCATTATAGATTTCACATTTTTCATGTAGGAATGTTCAAATGATAAGTATAATGCAAAATCCTCCCCCAAAACCTCTGACAAGTCAAGGTACAGGATCCCTCCTGCTACCTTTTATGATCCTGACCACCTTTCCCCTTCCTACTTCCCAAGCAACCCCATGCAACTACTAATCTGTTCTCCATCTCTCTAATTTTATCATCTTGAGAACACTATGTAAATGAAATAGGAAATTACCGTAATTTATCATTGCTCCCCCAGCCCTATTTGAGGTTGTGTCAGACTTTGCTAAGGGAAGAGTTTCTGTGGGCATCTTTGAAGGACTCACGTCTAGTTATTTTAAAATCGTCTTTGGTATTGCAGTGAAAAATATAAAACATTTGCTCTCTTTTTTTGCTTGTTTTTATATTGCTATTCACTCTGGCCATTAGTGGGGGCTTGAATTCATCAGTAACTTAGTTTCCCCCTTATTGGTGGTTGACGGTAGTTCCTGTTGACATTAAAAGAAAAAACATCTGGCAAAGGGAGTCCTCTGGTAGCAATCAGTCCCGCACACCGTGCACATCCAAGTGGAAAAATGCCCCCACTTGTTCGCCAATAGTGTGTATTACTCTGCTGTTTGTTATAAGGTACTGACGGCTTTATAGGTGTTTACGGTTAAAAGGATGATGCCTAAGTGCCAATGCCAGAGATTGTGCTGACTTCCCTACAGCAGGATGTTCATTTCTTTCTCTAGGCTTTTCTGAAATTGCAAGGCTCTGGCGTTTAGCATGTAACTTTTTACAGATGGCCAACAGCCTCTTTCTTGGGCCAGAAATGCAAGGTCCTCCTTGGCAATTGTATTGTTGGTGAATAATTTAAACCCTGCAGAGTATAGACTGCTGGAATACCCTCTGTACCAGTGTCAGTGAGATTGAGAGCTCAAAGCCTCATTCTCTTCAACAAGGAGCTCCTGCTGAGAGGTTTGAATTTCATCTCTAGAATACTATGTTTTCTGATGGAAGCCTCTTGACTCACTTGGTCACAGTGAGAAGATGGGTTTTCAATGGTTGTGTCCTGCAGGTGGTCCCCTTCCGTAATTCCAGATTGGCAATGGCTCCTGCTCTTCCTGGCTTCCTCCTCCTGGTGCTGCTCAGTGCTTCTGCCCCCAGCCCACATCCCAGGGGTTGTGCCTATTAAAACAGCAATACATGGGGTTATAAAGGGAGCATTTCAGACCATTAGCACCTAATTAAGGGTTTCTTCCTGATGTTAATGATTAGCATCTTTCAAGTTCCATCTCTTAACTGAGCATTATTTAGTCATATTCTTACTTTATCTTAGCAACTTTATGAGAAGATATTGTTCTGGTTTCACAGATGAAAACACCGAGACTGGGAGGCACACAGGGAGTAAGCAGCCAGAGCCAAATTGGAACCCAAATCTAATATTCAAGAGTCCATAGTTAACCGTACTGTTTCTTTTCATATAACTAGGAAGGCTGTATTACACTGGAAAACAGTTATCCCTACAGGGAAATGAAGTTGGTGAAAGCACCTTGAGGCGTATACTGTTACCACTGAAAAAGACTAGAGCAGAGCCGGTCTGACGGCTTGCCCAGCTGGGTTCCTTGTTAAGCCCCTCACTCACTCAGGCTCTAGCTAAACACTGCAGGGTGCTCTGTGCCATTGTGGGTAGAACCCTGCAGAACTCCTCCTAAATCAAGCCCACGTGCCTCTGTCTTGAACATGTTGACCTTAGTCCTGCCCTGAGGAGCTGCTCAGAATTAGTCAGGTCCTTCTTCCAATGACATACCTGTACATATTTAGTAAATGCGACTCCCATCCCCTTTCTCTTGCATGAAGACACCAGAACTGACCAGCTTTGTTTGCAATGTACCTGTCCATATCCAGGTTGGAGGGAGAACCTGGAAGAGTCTCAGAAAAGCACGTGTGACTGACATATTGATACAGAACCAGGGAACCTTCCTTTCCCCCTTTAGCTCCATCCAGGTTTCTAGGAGCACCTGTTCCGTGGGACTCCCTTCCACCCTGCCGCGCCCCAGTGCTGCCTTCTGTGCCAGCTCACCTCATGCCCTTCCTTCCTGCCTGGCACTCTGTGAGGGCAGGGAGGTCAGGTTGGGGTCCTAACACCCTCGTTTGGTGTTTGCAAGTTCCTTCTCTGGTGTTGACCCTATGACAGTTGGTGGAAGTATATTGGAACTGAGTTAGGCTTAAGTGATCCGAGTGATCCAAAGAACCACATGAGTTCTGTCCTATCAGTCAGATAGATACCTGTTGGCATTAAACTCACCTCTTTTATAATCACGATTCTTTTGGCTCTTTGGAGATCCAGCTTTTTTCTCAGGATTGTG